GTGTGTGTGTGTGTGTGTGTGTGTGTGTGAGAGAGAGAGAGAGAGAGAGAGAGAGAGAGAGAGAGAGAGAGAGAGAGAGAGAGAGCGCACTGTGTGAAGGAGCTGTTGCTACGTAGGAGCCATGTGATGGAGCTGTGTGTGTGCTGTGTGGTGAGGGCTATGTGAGTGAGATGTTGAGCTGTGGCTGTGTGAAGATTTGTAACTGTGAGGAGACAATGAAGATGAAGCTGTACAGAAAAGAGATGTAGAAGAGAAATGTTTGTAAAAGAAAGATGTGTAGTCACGTGACAATAGCTGTAACGTATACAGAGATGTACGGCCGTGTCGGAGAGAGATGTACATATGTAAACAGAGATATGTAGCTGTATGTGAAGAATGCAGCTGTGTGGAGACAGATTCTCAGCGAGCATTTTTAACATGAAGTAAAAGAGAAAGTGCCCATCGGAAAGTGTGTATTTCCTTATTTATCCCTCAGATAGACACAGTCCGGACCAAAGATAGAGAAGAAATATTTCCCAAGTTCCTCGCTGCATTTGTGGATGTTTCTGCAAACCCTGGTGCCGCCTGCAGGCTGCCCCCTGGGCAGTGATAGCTGGAGCACCCCAGCAGATGAGATGAGGTGGTGAGAAACTGTCCCAAAGGTGAATTCAGCTGACTCTCCTCTCTCTCCCTGGGTCCCTTCCAAAGCCAACCTTTCTTCTTCATGAAGACACCAATCAATGTGCCTGTCACTGGGGAGACAGGAGGTGGACTGGAGAGGAAGGGGGGCTTTTCAGGGTTAGACTCTTATCGGGAGAGTTCTTGGGCCCAGTGCTGCTAGATGTCTTTACCTTGGCACCCATGACTGCGATCTCGGCTGTGGGCCAGGCATAGTTGGTGTCACCAAGAAGGTGTTTGGAGCTCATGACATCATAGGCACCTCCATAGGCCTAGAACAAGTCATATGCTGAGTGTCAATGTCAGGGACAAGCAAATCACACCCCCAGCACTCCAGAAAGCCAAGGGAAATGGGGCCATGCCCTTCGGCCCCACAAGGTCAAAGCCCGGAGACTCGTACAGCCCACACCACCACTGCTGCCGGCTGTCTGTAACACATGTTGCAGGGTGAGCCCTCTAGACATTTCACAGGGGTGAGCGAGAGGCACACCTCCTTCCAGACCAGGTCACCTCATGGCAGACCACCTCAGCCATGATGCTAGGAGCATCCCTAGGGACAGGCTTGGAGGGCAGAGCCTCACCTTCCTGGTGATGACTGTGATTTTGGGTACGGTTGCCTCAGCGAACGCATAAAGCAGCTTGGCGCCATGCCGGATGATGCCACCATATTCCTGGGCTGTGCCTAGGTCATGAGGAAGAGTCACCAGGTTACATTAGAGCCCTTGCAAAGTCTCATGGCTGTGACAACCTCAGAGAGGACCAATCCTCACAAGGGCCAATCTTCTGGACAACAGAAGACAGACAAGTCAGAGCCGTGGGGTCTGTGAGAGACCCACACTGAACGCAGCCACCTCACCATCCCCACCTGTGCTGGACTCACCAGGCAGGAAGCCAGGGACATCAACAAAAGTGATGAGCGGAATGTTGAATGCGTCACAGAATCTGACAAAACGAGCCCCCTTCACAGATGAATTAATGTCCAAGCACCCTACAAGGAGAGAGACTGTCTGTTGGACGCTCTAGACACAGCGCCACACACAGTGGTAATACGCCCCCATCAGGCACCCAGGCCGCACAAGTTCATCTGACTGACACCAGAACTCCTGCCAGGCAAACAAGGCTGTGGCATCAGTGGTAAAACATGGCAGCCTGGGACAGCTAGGCAAGCTCTTTCCCAGAGACTGAAGGGCAGTCAGCCGAAGTCCAGACTGGTTTGCCCCAAGGAGACCCTCAGCAGAAGCTGTCACTCAGAGTGGCTCTGGAGAATGCAGAGCTGGACTCTGGCTCTACGGTCCATCTAGAAATCGCCCTTGGGAAGTTACCTTTCCAGCGTGAGGCTCTTCATACGCAAAGTAGGGAAGTCACCACCTCCCACAGCACTGTAGGAGGCCTAGAGGACCTGGCTCTGTGAAGTCAACCTGAGCAGGCTGCTAGCGGGTACTAACTAGTAAGTCCCCCACTTACACTCAAGGGGCTTTCAGACTTTTCTCTGAGACCAGTTGGGACTTTACCAGGTTTTCAGAAATGCTATGCACGAGAGGAAGACATTAAGAAAGGAAGGAGAGATGGCTCGGTGGTTAAGAGCACTGTTTGCTCTTCCAGAGGACCCAGGTTGGGTTCCCAACACTCACATTGCAGCTCACAGCTAGCAACCAGGGGATCAAATGCCACCTTCTGACCCCACTGGCACCAGGCACACACGTGATACACATATATGCAGGTAAAACACCCACACACGTGAAATATTTTTAAATGAGGAAGGGCCAAGTGTGGTCATGCATGCCTCAGTCTCGGCAACGAGAAAGCTGAGGCCAAAAGAGCATCACATGTTTAAGGTCCATCCGGTATAGCTGATAGGTTATCTAGCAAGACCCTGTGCCCTTCCCTCCTCTCAACCCCCTGCTTGGAAAAAAGAAGAAAGAAGTTAAACGGTCACAAATCAAGAAAAAAGTTCACAGTTCCACAACGGACTCATATCTAGAGTACACAGAGACCCCTGGGAGTCAACAGATCTAAAAACCCCAAAGCAGGGTTCCCTCCTCAGAAAGCACACTGCAACAATGGGCAATGCCTGTGCTAGGGGATCACGGGAGATCACTCACACTGCCGGGACCCACACCTCAAGGAGAACTGAGAGCTGGGCTTCCTTGGGGTGGGGTGGAGGGTAGGCCTCCACCACTAAGCTGCGATCCCTGCCCCAGAGTCGTGCATGTCACTGTTTACATTATAACTACATGCGTTTACAATGTATATAATCTCCAGCATGTGTATCACTGTTTACATTATAACTACACGCGTTTACAATGTGTATAATCTCCAACTTGAAGCACAAGCCTGCTCTCCCTGGTTCTGGAGGACAGAGAGCTGACTCTATTTACAGCTGTGTGAGTCCACTCTCAGCTGGCATGGCTGCTGGACGGACATGGTTTAGGTCTCAGCCAGTTTGAGGAGCAGTGAGGAAGAGTTCTCAGATACACAGACCAAAGGCAGCAGCGGGCAGCTGTTCAGACCCATGGGAAGGGAAGGTGCCTGCCACCAAGCCTGACCCTCAGTTCCCTGTGGTGGGAGGAGAGACGTGACCCCCCATAGATTGTCCTCTGACTTCCACACACGTGCACCACCACATACAAGAAACTGCAGTAAAACATTTCAAGACAGTCGTTGAGCCTGGCCAAGCGACCAGAGTTGCCTGGGAGGAAAAAGCCGAGGAAAGGGGTTCCCTCATGAACTCATGAACTCATCAGTAGCTGTGTGTGCAGGGAATTTAGGAAGCACCTGCAGGTCTAGACCCAGAAACACAATAAGAGGCCTGAGAAAATGAGAAAATACCCAAATGTCAATACATTAGAAAAATATGGCAATGAACAACGGGAATCAGGGAAACAAGGCAAACACAATGAGGAAACCAGGGAGGACAAGCTATAAAAAATAACCTAAAAGATTCTGGAGCTGAGAGTCACAGGAGTGAAGAGGAAATCTCCTAGAGGGTTCAGTTCAGCAGGACACCTGAGCCGGCGGAAGAACGGACTGGAGACGGAACCACTGAAAACCTCACACACCTCACAGACCCGTAAGGTAACAGGGAAGTCCTCCAGCGGACACAGCACGCCAGGAGCGGGGCCACGCAGAGAGAAAAGCCTAAGATTTGTACAAGTATCCGAAAACTCCCCAGATTTGATATGATATGAAACTACAAAAACCAGAAACTCTAAACTCAAGCAGGATAAATTCAGACAGTTGGACTGAGAGACTGCAGGACACTGGAGGACCCAGAGAACCCTCAAGGCTGCAAGAGACAAGACTCCTGTGCACAAGGGGTCTTCGATTAGATTGTCAAATGCTATTTCTGCACGTGGTGGAGGCCAGACGATAGATCATATATTTTAAATGCAGAATGAAGAACACTAATAATTCTGTACCCACAGTGCTTCAAAGGGGAAGGAAAACTGAAAAGTGGCGACATTCCAGGATAAACAGGGAGGCTACAGAGTTCACTACCCTAGACCAGTGGTCCTCAACCTGTGGGTCGTGACCACCTTGGGGGTTGAACCACCCTTTCACTGGGGTGCTAAGACCATCCTGCAGATCAGATATTTACATTATAATTCCTAACAGTAGCGAAATTACAGCTCTGAAGTAGCAACGAAGATGACTTTCTGGTTGAGAATCACCACGGCAGGAGGAACTGGAGTAAGGGGTCATGGCATTAGGAAAGCTGAGAACCCCTGCCCTACACACACTCTGCATTAGGCCCTTCACAAGTGCTCTGGGAAGGGAGGGAGGAGGCCAAGCACCACACAACAATCTGAAGAACAGAGACCTGCAGCGCAGGGAGACTACAGCGGCAAACAGCCAGGGTCATAGCTGTCCAGTTTGGAACTCTACCTTTTCTTCCCGCCATCACTTTAAAAACAAATGAAGCCCAGACACGCCTGATGGCGAGTGTCAGGGATGAACTTTACCGCTTCTCTACGATCTTGTTGATCTTGTCGAGAAGATGAAAGGAGAGAGAATACTACCTCACTCACTCATGACAGCTGCCATTCCGAACGTCAAAACCAAAGACACCAGAAAAAGACAACCACAGATTGGCATCTCTCACCAACACACAAAAAGGCCAACAAAACACTGTGAAAGACAGCAGTGAGTGAGAAGGACGATATATCACAACAAGATGAGATTTAACTCAGGGAAACAAGTCTGGTCCAGCCACTGGAAAGAGGTAATATCATAATCTGTCAAATTACAGGCTAAAAAAAAGCCATCCCCACATAAATAAATGCAGGGAAAGAATTCGACAATATCCAATGACCATTTAAGTTAAATAAAAGGGGAAAAGCCCCTAGCCTATTAGAAACAGAGAAAGTTTTACAAATTGTATAAAGAACATCTACCAACATCTTTTGGCCATCATCACATCCCGTGGGGAGCAGTGGCTCTTCCAGGATCACAGGCCCAGCACAGAAAGGCAGGCAGACACAGCGGGGTGGAAGCCAGCCTCATCTACATAATGAGTTCAAAGTCAGCCAAGGCTGTTAGGCAGAACCCATTCAACTGCTTTTCTTTTCTTTTTTTTTTTGTTTTTCTATTATTTTTTTATTTATTTATTAAAGATTTCTGGGGGCTGGAGAGATGGCTCAGAGGTTAAGAGCATTGCCTGCTCTTCCAAAGGTCCTGAGTTCAATTCCCAGCAACCACATGGTGGCTCACAACCATCTGTAATGGGGTCTGGTGCCCTCTTCTGGTCTGCACACACATACACAGACAGAATATTGTATACATAATAAAAAAAAATTTAAAGATTTCTGCTTCCTCCCCGCCACCGCCTCCCATTTCCCTCCCCCTCCCCCAATCAAGTCCCCTCCCTCGTCAGCCCAAAGAGCAATCAGGGTTCCCTGCCCTGTGGGAAGTCCAAGGACCACCCACCTCCATCCAGGTCTAGTAAGGTGAGCATCCAAACTGCCTAGGCTCCCACAAAACCAATAGGTGCAGTAGGATCAAAAACCCATTGCCATTGTTCTTGAGGTCTCAGTAGTCCTCATTGTCCGCTATGTTCAGCGAGACCGGTTTTAACCCAGGCTTTTTCAGACCCAGGCCAGCTGGCCTTGGTGAGTTCCCGATAGAACATCCCCATTGTCTCAGTGTGTGGGTGCACCCCTCGCGGTCCTGAGTTCCTTGCTCGTGCTCTCTCTCCTTCTGCTCCTGATTTGGACCTTGAGATTTCAGTCCGGTGCTCCAATGTGGGTCTCTGTCTCTGTCTCCTTTCATCGCCTGATGAAGGTTAATATCCAGAAGGATGCCTATATGTTTTTCTTTGGGTTCTCCTTCTTATTTAGCTTCTCTCAACTACTTTTCAATATTCTACTAGCTGATACAGTAAGAAAATAAGGGGCAGTGGTAGCAAACGCCTTTAATCCCAACACTTGGGAGGCAGAGGTAGGTAAATCTCTAAGTTTGAGGCCAGTCTGGTCTATGCAGTGAGTTCTAGAACAGCCAGGGCTACATAGAGAAACCGTGTTTCAAACAACAATTATATAAAAAGCACACACACAAAAAAGTACATTAACTTGAATAATGACAGCTGCAGCTCAGAACAGTGTCCATAGAAAGTATGAAAGTATGAACAAATGTGCACCCCCACCAAACACACACACACACCACACACGCACACAATTTTTCCAGTTTACTTATATAAAGTCTGTTTAAAAAACAGAACCCAAAAAACACAGTCAGCATATCCTTTCATGATAAAAAATACCCCAAATCTGGAAAGAGGGATAACTGGATTTCCACATGCTGAAGAACTGGGCTGGACCACACACCACACACTAAATTAATTCGCATGCAATCAAACCTCAGCATAGGGGCTAAAATCATATAATGCTTAGCGAAGACACAGGAGCAACCCAAACATGGTGGCGCACACCTTTAACCTCAGCACTGGGTGCTGAGGAAGCAGAGACAGGTGGAGTTCTATGAGTTTGAGGCCAGCCAGGTACATACAGGGAGAGCCTGTCTGAAAGAGAGAGAAAAAGGGGAAAGAAGATAGATAGAGGGAGGGAGGGAGGGAGGGAGGGAGGGAGGGAGGGAGGGAGGGAGGGAGGGAGGGAGGGATGGGGGAAGGGCCAGACGGATGGTCAGTCCGATGGAAGTAGATGGGCAGGCAGGTGGGTAGGCAGGCAGGTGGGTGGGCAGGCAGGTGGGTGGGCAGGCAGGTGGGTGGGCAGGCAGGCAGGTGGGTAAGCAGGCAAGAAGACTCAAATGACCAAAAGCTGCAGCAGGAGCAGCTGGAGATTGCTGTCTGCAGGCACAGGTATGTGCCTAAGGTCTTGAAAGGTTTCAGGAGCATCAGTGATGTGGCCCACAAAGAATGGAAAAAATGCTGGTGTTGTGTGATATCTACTGCTGATGCTGTTCCAGTTAAGGCAGGGTCTTGCCCCCGCAAGCCAGGCTGACCTTGAACTCAGGGTTCTCCTGCTTCGCCCTGCCTGGTGTCCTGACTTCCACACCCAGCTGACAGTAACACTGATTTCTGTTTTCCAAACTAAGGAAGAACAGTGAAGAGAATCAGTGTCCACCCTCGGTCCCCACCCTCTGGCACAGCTAGGAGAGCCCCTCAGCCAGCTAGAACTCAGATCTGGCCCTGTCACCCGAGGGGAGATACTGTTCAGGTCTCGGGTGCTGACCACTACGGTCAGTGACCAAGCCACTGGAGACACAAAGAAGACACCAGTCCCCTCAACAAGGGAGAACAGAAAGCCACCCTCAAAATCACAGACCTTCTGATCTGAGAAGGAAGAGGATCTTGGAAACCTGAGACTGCTGTGAAAGGAGCTTTAGAAATACTTAATGCTAAGAGAAAGACACCATCACCACACGCCTTGAGCTTCTTCCCTGGCCATGGAAGGGTTAAGGCACACAGTCACTAAGAGTTCAAGCAGTCTTGGTGTCCAAACCCAATCAGAGGTTTCTGGGGCCCATGTCCTACCTGAGGCCACCTTGGGCTGGTTGCCGACGACTCCAACGGTCCTCCCATTCATTCTTGCAAAGCCAACAACAATGTTCTTTGCATAATTGGGCATGATCTCAAAAAACTCTCTCTCATCAATCACCTGTAGGAATAAATTTCCTCCTGAGCTCAGAACGATTGAGACAAAAATATTATGATAATAACTGCAGACAGCCTTACACAGAAAACAGACGGCCCAGCTCAGCACAGTTCCTCTCTCCCTTGTAGCAGTGGGTGGGGTGGGACCCTCTCACACAACACAACTTATTGTAAAAAAATTCTAAAATAGGGCTGGAGAGATGGCTCAGCGGTTAAGAGCATTGCCTGCTCTTCCAAAGGTCCTGAGTTCAATTCCCGGCAACCACATGGTGGCTCACAACCCTCTGTAATGGGGTCTGGTACCCTCTTCTGGCCTGCAGGCGTACACACACTGACAGAATATTGTATACGTAATGAAGGCATAAGTCACGAACAAGGCCACACCAGTTTGGAGTTATGATTAATAGGGTGTTATTTATTTAAAGGGGAAAACTTACAGATCACCGTCCCAGACAACAGCCATCTGCACAACCAGGAAGGGAGTCTAGTCTCCGGCGGAGCAGGAAGTGAAGAGAGCGAGCAGAGGAAATAGCCGCTTTCTTAAAGGGAGAGAGACCACGCCCCAATGGGCTGGTATCACAGCAGCTATTGGTTGGAGGGGCGGAAGGACCTCCCGCAACACCGTAATAAATAAATATTTAAAAAAAATTCTAAAATATAAATCTAGCATTCATTGTGGCAATTTGCATGAAACAACTTCAAGCTTACATAAAAATGTTAAGGACAGCCAGGCGGTGGTGATGCACGCCTTTCAACAAAGTATCTGATCAGTCCAGAGAGGCAGATGGATCGCTGAGTTCGAGGCCAGCCTGGTCTACAGAGCGAATTCCAGGACAGCCAGGACTACACAGAGAAACCCTGCCTCGAAAAACCAACTAACCACCAAATACCATACAATAGGACCGGAGACATGGCTCAGACGTTAAGAGCATCTGCTGCTCTTGCACGGGACCTGAGTTTGGTTCCCAGCACCCATGTTGGGCAGCTCACAACCAATTCAACTCCAGCTCCAGGGTATCCAAAACCTCTGGCCTCACAGACACTGCACTTATGTTACACACACGCATACACTCTTCTCACTAGCATTTTCTTACCATTATTTCTCCCCACAATGGTCTGGTTTTCATCCATGCAGATTGAGTTCCCTGAATCATTTAAGTCACAGACAGGCTTTTTACCTGAGTCCCGTACTGTCTAAGCACACAGAAACCCCGACATAAGCGCAGTGACCTGTGAAGCAGACAAGGACAGTGTGCGCAGCACTGACTGTCGCCACACCACCACACTAAGCAGCTGGCACGCTTAGCGACCCTGTCTCTGGTCCCTTTAACTTTCTCAGGCATCAGTATTCAGTGTCCCTCATAACTTCTCTGAAGACAAAAGAGTAAGTTATCACGTGGGACTGCCTTCCTGCTCAGCTGTTTGATGACGTCATCTTTGGGATTACCATGGTGATGTCTAAGTGGCAATGACGTCACTGCCCTATAATGGTGCAACCTGCTTGGGTCCTCCTCAACCAAGTCAATGGATTTTCTAATACAACCAATAAGCATTTCTCCTCCTCTTTATCAAAACTTCATCAAAATTTTGGTGTCTAGTGCCAGGTGTGGTGACACACACCTTTAATCCCAGCACTTGGTAGGCAGAGGTAAGATCTCTGATTTTGAGGCCAGCCAGGTCTCCATGGTAAGATCAAAGACAGCAAGGATTATAGAGAGAGACTAGCTCAAGAAAAAAAAATAACCAAAATTTACTCATTTAGGCTGGAAATATACCTCAGTGGTAGAGCACTTGTTCAGCGTGCATGAGCAAGTTTAATTTCCAGAACCAACAAATCAATGCCATCCCCCTTCAGTCATTTTATGTTTAACTACATCAAAAGTTCATATACTTTAATACTGTCTCTCTCTCCCATTCCTTTGACTGCATTCCCACATGATGGTTAATCTTTGCTGCTGGCCTTTCAAGGCAAGGTTTCTTTCTTGGTGCTCCTGGTTGTGTTGGAACTCGGTCTGTGGACCGCGCTGGCCTCAAACTCAGAGATCTGCCAGCCACTGCCTCCTGAGTGCTGGGATTAAGGCCGTGTGCCACCACCGCCGTGCACCACCACTGCCCAGCCCGTATGATTAATCTTAACTGTCAGCTTGGTTGGACTAATAAACACCTGAGATTAGCAAAACTCACGGCTGTGAGTGTTTGCAAAAGTATCTGTAGAGCTACAGATTTCAGTACTCTGAGTCCAGGAGCAGATGGATCTCCTCAGAGTACGACGGCATTGGGATAGGGGTAAAGGTGGGAGATGAGAGGGTCACTGGAGATGTGTCTTTCCGGAACCCTTCTATGCCCACCCACCCCGCCCACCTTGATGTGAGCCTGCTTCAGTTGCCAGCGCGTTCTCCGTGTAGTGGGCTAAGTTCCTGAAGCTGTGAGACTAAACACATTTCCTTGCTTCTAGTTACTCTCTCGGGGACTCTGCTCACAGCTGCAGAGAGTCACTAACCCACCCACCATCTGCTTTGAGTGTATTTCTGGCCCGAGTTTACATGGGTGACAATTTCCTGCCTTTAATGTGGACGGCAACACAGTACTGACGCTTTCCGCACGTCTGGGAATTGTATCACTTCACTCCAGGCAATCACACCCCAGCCACCGTCTCATCCTTTCCACTCCTGTGCATTATGTTCTGTGCATCTTGTGATTACAAACTGTGGTGTCTATGCTTTCACACTCTGGGCAATTCCTGAACCATTTTCTTGGTCCTGTATGATGCCAACTTCCCCTACCAGCAGAGAAGGACAGGAACTGCTTCCCACAGGCTTTCCAAAGGATAGCATTCAAACTTCACTTCTGGTTAGTTTGACGTACAAGAAATAATTCAATGCAATTCATTTTATCAAGGCATGGTTCTCTAACTCAGGACACTGTTTGTTTCTGCAGGGTCTCTTGTGGCCACCATGTACACCAGGGAGCCAGCCCCTGAGCCTCAAGAGACTCCCCTGCATCCACCTCCCAAAGAGGACGGCTCTGGGAATTCGAGTTCAGACCCTCACAGTCGAATGGCAAGGGAACCATTTAACCATTTAGCCGCCTCCCCAGAATTCCACCGTGATGACTGGTCTTGAACATTTTCTCATATGCTTAAGGGCCATTTTTGTCTTTTCAATGTTTCCATTTGTTCTTAGATGATTTTGCTATCCATTTTGGCCTTTCTTGACTTGTAGGAATTTGTGTCCTGATATTAATACTCTCAGATATGGAAAATGTTTTCTCCCAGTCTAGTGCCCTTTGGCATTTATGCGTCTTCCCATGAACGGTGGAGTTAATGTTTTTGATCAGAAGTAGATATGAATCTCAATTAAAAAACACTTCTCTTCCTTCTAAGAGCACAGAGATCCACTTGTCTTTTGTGGAATGTTCCCATGGATTTACTGTTCAGATGGAATTCTGAGCCATGTGTTTTCTATGTTGTTGTTTCCTTATAGACAAGCTCTCACTACATAGCCCAGGCTGGCCTGGGGCTTGGTCTTCTCCTGCCTCATCCTCCGAAGCGCTGAGATCACAGCCTCTGGGCCCACATTCAGCTGCCCCTCTTTTAGTCACATGATGTACAGTCTGTATCCTCCCATGCGGCCTCCAGTTGTCAGCATCTTTTATTAAGAAAAGCAACCTTGCTCCTGGGCTCGGATCTATTTTTACCATCTGCTAAAACTCTCCTGGGTCTGTTTCCAGCTCTTGAGTTCCACTCCGCTGGTCTATTTACACGCGGGTCTCTGGCTGCTTTAGCATAGGCACGGCTTGTCCAGCAGAGCTTCTGCAGCTCACTCCCAGTGACGGGGAACGAGGTATGCACTTGTCCCCTTCTATGAATGTGTTTATTCAGACTGCCTTCAAACCGTAAACTTAGGCAGAGCTGGCACTTCACACTGACCCATGCTAAGGAATGCATCTCCACTGCTTAAGTGTGCCCCTGATTCCCTTCCGCATCACCAGTTTCCCCACTTACCTGTAGTGGTGATATATTTGGGGTGTTTTCTGGGGAAGGGTTTCTATATTTTTAAGATGGGAACTAAATTTGCCAAGTCATTTCTCTCATTTTTAGTATTAAGATATATATTCTTCTGTTTAAACCACAGTCCAGAAGTTTTGATACCCAGTGTTTCCATTCGACGTTAGCATCCTATGAGTGATGTGCCTTTAATCCCAGCACCTGGGAGGCAGAGACAGGTGGATCTCTCTGAGTTTGACACCAGTCTGGTCTACAGAGTGAGCTCCAAGACATTCAGGGTGGTTACACAGAGTGCCCTGTCTCAAAAAAAAAAAAATAAATAAAATAAATAAATAAATAAAAATAAAAAAAAAATAGAATTCTGCCATTTAGTTCATATCTTCCTCCAGGAACTGTTTAACAGATTTCTTTCCAGGTTTGGGGGTAGCTTTTGTTTTAGCAGATAAGCATCTATAGTCTAAAGCAGTACTGTTTATAATTTTAAAATATTTCCACTTGTTTTTATGTGTATGACTGTTCGCTGTGCATATGTATGTATGTATGCCATGTGTGTGCAGTGCCTGCAGAGGCCAGAAGAGGGTGTCATCGGGCCCCCTTGGAGCTGGAGTTACATATGGCTGGGAGCCGTCAGGTGAATGCAGTGACCAAAACCTGGGTCTTCTGTAGAGCGGCAAGTACCTTAGCCGCTGAGCAGCTGTGCTAACCGAGGTTCTGTAAAGGAACGGAACTGACGATACACACAGACACAGCCACAGATGAAACGGGAAGGGACGTGGTCTGGGTGCTCCAGCAAGGGCTGCCTGATGACAGAAAGGCTAAGATCTGGTGGCAGTTCAGTTCACAGATCTCCATGTGTCAGCTGTCCCAACTGGATGCCTGGAGAGCTGCTGGTCTTCAGTCTGTAGAGATGCTGAAGAAGGTGGATTTAATACTGCTCACGGAAACAGGACAGATGAACTTGCCAGTGAGACTGAGGGGGGCAAGCAAAGGCAAAGTCCCCTTCTCCATGTCCTTCTCCATATCTGGATTGCACCAGAGATGTGGCTGAGATTTAGGGTAAGTCTTTCTGCATCAATAATCTGATTAAGACAATCCCTCACAGGGCTTCCCAGCAGCGTGGGTTTTAATTGATTCCAGATGCAGTCCCGTTGACAACAAAGATCATCCATCACAGCATCTCTGAAAAGTGTTTTTATGACATTTCTGTGTGTGTATGTGACACAGGGTGCATATGGAGGCCAGGCCACAACTTGTGGGAGCCAGCTCTCTTTTTACCAGGAGGTCCTGGGGTCATACTCAGGTCATCTTGGCAGCTGGTACCTTTACACCTGCTGAGCCACTGCAACAGCCAAATTATTTGTAATTTTTCTTTTATCAAATTTGATGTTTTTCTTTCCGCCCTCATTCAAAACCTTTTGTGACTGTTCCCCTGTAGTTTATAGTAAAACTTATTGCCCAACAATACAGAACACAGTCATGAGTAGGGGTAGCCTGGCCATGCCTGCTGACTCCTGCAGGCTCCCGAAATAAGGAAAAAGACTCCAGGCCAGGCTGAGCCCACAGAACCATCGGCATTCCACCAAGCAAGAACTGCTGGTGAAACTCTGTGTGTGTGTGTGTGTGTGTGTGTGTGTGTGCAGGAGACACCTGACACCTGCAAATGCCCCATAGAGCCCAACAGTTGCCTTCTCTGATCAAACCAAAACACGGCTGCATGAAGGAAGAGGCACCATGCATCCTAAGCCTCACACCCCCTATTCTCTAGGAAGACAAGGTTTCCGGACCAGAAGCACTTAACAGTAACACCCAACAAGGATCAACCCTGCCTCACTCCAAGTCAGGATATGGCACTAACTCTGGGCACCTCAGTGCCTTCCAAATCCCCTGAGCTCTGCTGGCCCAACCCTCAAGTTCATCTGAGTCCTCAAGATGTCATAGCCACGGAATCGTACCAGAACACCCTGCCTGGTCCCTGGCCACTGTATTTCCCACTTGTGCTGACGCTGAGACCCAGTCAGATACATCCTGCTAAGACAAAGCGCAATGAGCACAGCTGAGGCTGAGAGAAGACAGGGTGCTTACTGAGTGTATGATGTCCAGCATGTCGTAGGCTTTGCTTGACTCCAAAGGGACAATGGTGTCCAGCTCAGGAACCAGGCGGTCACTGGAAAAGACACAGTGGAGTCAGCGTAGAAACCACTGTCCCGCAGGAGCCGAGAAGGAAATGAGGGAAGCAAGACACAGCAACTGGTGATGTGTCCTCAATGGATGGTCACAGAAGTCACCTTGGTCATCACATCGCCTCACAGAACCTGCCTACAATACCAACTCATGTGACTTAAAAATATATAGGAAAAATAAGATTACTCCCGCTTGTAGCTCTTCTGTTTGCCCTTCTGGGATGTTTCCTACACTGGAGACACAGCATGGGCTCTAAAAGGCACTGGAGATAACAGGGCAAAGCCCGGGAACCCCCCTCTGACTTCCTGCAGCATCTAGGACGGAAGAGCAGGGAGTCACAGTAGGAATGAGAATCCCCCCCACACCCCCTCTAAGCAGCAAAGCCGCAGACCCCCTGGACAGAATGAGTCATCTGGGACCAAACCAGCACACCCTGACCTGTGGCTCTGTCTTCGGCAGGCGAGGAGATCAAGTTAGAGCTTGTGCCCGCTTCACTGGAGAATCCAGCAGATCACACCCCTCAAACCTCCTCTCTTCACAGGGCTCTCAGCCCTTCCTGTCCCATGTGGGCAGCTGGGACTACAGGGACTCCTCCCACCACCACCCCTAACATACCCCCTGCCACACACAAGTGCACCCAAGTATAGGGTCTGACCTTGGCCAGGTCACATGGCCCACACCAAGCCAACTTCCCAGAAAGCTCTGCTTTCCACTGAAAATGGAATCTGTACTTCTCATGGGTCACTTAAAGAGTAGGCTACTCAGATCCTCGGGGACCTAGGCCACACCCTCCAAATAATGTCTCAAATTCTTCAAGTATAGGGTCTGACCTTGACCAAGTCACCCTGTTGGCATACTCTGCAACCTGCTTCAAGCTGACCTGAGATCCTGTCAGGATAGAGATGCCAGAAGGCCAGAGACAAACAAGTCCACCGCCACCCACCTTGGGTCATGACACTCGCGGACCGGAGCTGGGTCCTGGCTACTGAGGGGCAGGTAGTTGAAGAACTCACGTAGGTTACACAGGGCATCTATATCATTCTCGAAAGCTCTGTGGGCCACACCTGAAAGCACAGAGAGGACAGGAGGCCCAAGGACTGGTGGTCAGCTACAGAAGACACTCGCGGGCTTCTCCAGCTTGGCAGATGGCAGCCACGCTGGCAGTTCTGTCCTCAGTCACCCCGAGTGTGACGCTCCTCTGCCAGCCCGACACCCCACGTTCCCTGCTCTGTGAGCAGTGGGACACTACTCTACACCAGCTCCCCCAAGGCTGCTGACTGCCTCCTGCAGAGAAAGGTGCCTGGTGCACATGGGCTTGGACACAGAGGAAGGGAAGGGGGAACACCCTGGCCCTGAACAGGGTCAAGCCATCATTCTGGAAGCAGAGCCAGCATTCTCCCAGGCCCACCTCCCCCAGGCCATCTGCTTCCACCACTGCCCCTTAATATCTCTGACCTCGAAGCAGTCAGAGGGAGATTTGTGTGTGAATCAGGATAGCAAGACACGCTTTGCAGCCAATCACTCCTCTATCCTTTGGCCTTTGTATAAGCTACTGCCCATGCCTGGGGTGTTTTCCCCTCAATACCCACGGGGAACCTCTTCAAGGATATTCACCCAGCACCCTCATTGTGAACACTACCCTTGCCCATGAGTAGAACCTCAACAGCCCAGTGTCTGGGGGTCCATTCTTCTCCCACAGACTCCATGAGGTTCTTGTCTGCATGCTGCATTGCCCGACTCCCTTCCTAGTAAGTAACTGCCATGTGGACGGGGTTGTGCTACCTCCACAGACACATTCCTAGCACCCAGCATGCTTCACACACAGACACTCGATGAACACCTGCTGAATGAGAAAGGGGTATTCTCAACAAGACTGAATTCTATTACTCAAAGAGCGTTTACAAACTGGCACAGCATTCTGGAAGTCAGTCTGGCAGAGCCTCAGAAAGATCAACAGCTATGCCACCCATACCTGGGCATGTGCCAGCAAGAAATAAAAATGTCACACAAATGTTTGCAACAGGATATTATGTTATAAACACAAACATATATGTTAGAAAACCCAGATGTCCATCAGCAGATAGACAAGACATGTTAGGGCTGGGGCTGGGCCTGGCTGTAATCTCCATCATGGTGGTGGGGTGGAGGAGTAGTTGTGATGGTGGTGGTGGTTGGTTGGTTGTGGAGAATAGTAGCTCACACCTGTGATCCCAGCTCTCAAAAAAAAAAAAAAAAAAAAAAAGGCTGAGGCAGGAGGCTTAAGAATTCGAGGCCAGCCTAAGCAACTTAGTAAAATCCTATCTCTAAAATAAATAATTTAATTATCAGTTATACATCTCTATATTGGACAATCACTCCATTAAAAGGAATGAAGTACTGAGATGGGATACTACACAGACAAGCCTTTAAAAATGCATGGCAGACTGGGTGCAATGGCCCAAGACTATATTCCCAGCCGCAGTAAGTGTGAGGCTAGTCAGCCTTCTCGTGTGTTCCAGGACAACCAAGACACACAGTGAGACAGTCTCTAAACAAAACAAAATGTAAAAAGTAGTTAGTAAAAGAAGCCACTCATAAAATTTAAGCCTTTAAATCTGAAAATATACCATTTCCTCAGAACTCCTTTCCCATGCCCATCCACCAAGACAAAAAGTTTTATTTGGGATCGAGACTAAAAAAACATACCCCATGTCCAACAAGATGGCTGAGTCGGAAAAGGTACTTGTGGCCAAGCCAGACAATTTAAGTTTGATCCCTGGGACCCACATAAGAGAAGGAGAGAACCAATTCCCACTACTTCTCCAACCTCCACATGAATACTGTGCTGTGCCCCTCACCACGCTCACACAAAACGGAGTGTACACCCACGCATATGTACGTGCGCGCGCGCACACACACACACAGACAAATGTGCATGCATGCACACACATACACACACACACACACACACAAGTGCATGCATGTGCATGCACACCCACACGGAAGCTCACAGAGTAATAATCGGAGAAGAGAAAGGGAATCAATAAAAGGAGACAAAGGGAAAATGGGGTGGATGCAAACAGAGCACCCGATCAACATGTATGAAAGAGAAACGTTTTGTAGAATAAACACACAGTACTAAAAAGTTTTTGAAGACATCATTGTCATATGACTCCACTTACATGAACTGTTCAAAGTTAAGCACACACATAGAAACAAAGTTGGCTCATGGCTGCCTGTACTTCCGGCAGCCAGAATATTTGAGGTGCAGTGGGAGAGGCTGAAATAACTTGCCTCAATGCCAAAAGTAAGACACAGGATACCATTCCAGCCATTCTGCAAGTTCAATTGCATGGATATAAATCGCACCCACTATGACCACCCACATGAGCTCCAAGATCACTTTACAGACAAGGAGGGCCTGTGAAGAAGAGCTGGCCCGGCCCGTGGGCCAGTAATCTTATTAGTAATCATTAGTAGTAACCTACTACCTACGTCTGAGACTGCGACTTGAGCCACGTCTGTGGCTGTAGCTCACAGTAAGCGCTGTTGGTGACGTGACATTTTTAACGCCTTGGACCACCCTGCACGGCAATGCCTTCTCCTTTGGAGAGCAGGAAGGTCACGGTCACATCTCTCACCTGAGACAGTGGTGTGGGTCTTGGCACCACCCAGCTGCTCCTGAGTGACATCCTCATTGGTAACAGACTTCACGACTTCAGGGCCAGTGATAAACAGGTAGGATGTGTCCTGAAATCAGATTTCCACACCGTCAGATTCAAGTCACCGGAGCTACTCAGGATTCACTCTTCCAAGACCACAAACAGGGGAGTTGACGGGGACCTGACACCAGGACTACAATAGAGCCCTATTCTCAGAAGATCTCTGCTGTCTGCTTCAGCCTCAGTAGATGAATCTGCAGGGTGGCTAACCTGCGGTGTGGCTAACCTGCGGTGTGGCTAACCTGCGGTGTGGCTAACCTGCGGTGTGGCTAACCTGCGGTGTGGCTAACCTGCGGTATGCTTAACCTATGGTGTGGCTAACCTGCGGTGTGGCTAACCTGCAGTGTGGCTAACCTGCGGTGTGGCTAACTTGCCAGGTTAAGTTAAACCCAGGGTCCCAGGTGGCCCTGACTCATAAAGCGAAAAGGAACCGTGGGACAGGTGAACAGGGCAACAAGAGGACACAGGGGACACACGGGGACATGGGGACATGGGTGCTGTGGGATAATGTTCTTGGACACTGTAAAGATTTGTCACTCATATTGGTTCAGTAAAATGCTGATTGGCAGGTAGCCAGGCAGGAAGTATAGGCAGAGCGACCAGACTGAGAAAATATTGGGAAGAGGAAAGGCAGAGTCAGTCACCATCCAGACTGAAGCAAGATGAGAATGCCTCACTGAGAAAAAGTACCAAGCCACATGGATAAACATAGATAAGAATTATGGGTTAATTTAAGTTGTAAAAGCTAGTTATTAATAAGCCTGAACTAAGAGGTCAAACAGTTTATAATAATATAAGCCTCTGTGTGTTTCTTTGGGACTGAACAGCTGCGGGACCAGGCAGGACAGAAACTTCTGCCTATGATGGGGAGGGGGGCTCTTTTTAAGGCAGGGGTGAGGGAGGAGAGACATAACACTGAGGATGTTTGACAAAGCCTCAAAGAATTATGGTTTTATAGATACCTAACATTACATACACCACATATGGTGGTTTTATATGTACCTAACATTATATACACCACATATGTGGTGGATTTATATATATCTAATGTTATATACACCACATATGTAGTGGTTTGAATGAGAATGGCCCCATAGATTCACATGTCAGATACTTGTTCTCCAGTTGGTAGAATTGTTTGGCAAAGATTAAGAGGTATGGACCTGTTGGAGCAAGCTCCCTCCAGCCAGCTCCCAAATAATAACATGGAGACATAAATTATTATTAATTATGAAAGCTCAGCCTTAGCTTAGGCTTGCTATCACTAGCTCTTATAACTTAAACCCATTTCTACTAATCTACATTCTGCCATGTACTGCCTGCCCATCCTGCTTCCTCCATGTCTCCTCCAGTCTTGCTCGCGCTCCTAGATTCCTCCTCCTAAGTTCTCTCTCTCTCTCTCTCTCTGCTTGAAGTCCTGCCTGAACCTCCTACCTCGCAAAACTCCACCCGGCTTTTTATTACACCCACCACAGCACTACACTTCCATACAGGGCACAAATATCCCCACAACAGAGGTGTGTCACTGGGGGTGGGCTCTGAGGTTTCAGGACAAACACCATTCCCAGGGTCTCATCTGCCTCCCACCTGCAGATCAAAATGTGAACTCCGCTCTTCCTGCGGTCAGGCCTGTGTCACCACGGACTCTCCCTCAGGACTTTTATAAGTGGCTTTGGTCATGTTGTTTTATGACACCAATAGAAAACTAAAGCAGGAGATGATACCAGGAGTGGGGTGTTGCTGTAACAGACCCAACTTTTTTGGGGATGGGGAGAATGTGGAAGACTTTGGGGTTTTGAACAAAGAAGATGGCTGAACTTGGTAAACAATGCATACTAGGTTGTCCCAGCAGGAACCTGACAGGCAGCAGCTCTGAGATGTGGACTATGGAAGCCCAGATCGAAAGGGTTCAGAGGGAACAATACGAGCAGCTGGGCCAGAAGACAGTGCTTCTGCTACTTTGTCAAAGACTATGACACTTTCTGCTCATCATAGGAATCTGTATGAGGCTAAGTTGAAAAGTCCTGGTGGAGATCTCATGACAGCCTGATACTGATGCTGCCCCATGGTTACTAGTAATCACTCTTATGCAGGGCTACAATTTAAAAAAAAAAAAAAAAAGCAAGTGGGGCAAAAAGAAATCCAAAATGTACAGTCTGCAGCCAAAAAAGAACACTAGGGGGCTGGAGAGATGGCTCAGTGGTTAAGAGCATTGCCTGCTCTTCCAAAGGTCCTGAGTTCAATTCCCAGCAACCACATGGTGGTTTATAACCATCTGTAATGAGGTCTGGTGTCCTCTTCTGGCCTGTAGACATATACACAGACAGAATATTGTATACATAATAAATAAATATTTTTTTAAAAAAAAAAAAGAACACTAGGATATTTAGAAAGGGTGCCCTCAGGGAAAGATCTCACCCCGCTAAGCTTCCAACCTGTTAAGTGTCCAGAACCCAAGAACAAACAAAACAAGCAAATGGAAATTCCATGAACCTCAACACATCAAAAATCAAAATAGCAATTTAAACAAACAGTCTCAGTGCATTTCCTGGCAGACAGACACTTCAATAAAAACCAGCCACACTAAAAAGCAATAAGGAAGGAGGGTCCAAAAGAAAACCAGAGAAGCAGGAAGAGCCACAGAGGCAGCAAACACTTCCTGTGAATTCCAGAAGGCAGAAACAAGAATCTTCTCACGCACACTGTGGTAGCTCACAGCACTGGCCGTCCATGTTATCAGCACACGGTTCCCCTGATACAGGGGAATGGGAACCCCAGAAGAAGTCAAGGGAGAAAACTCTACACTACAGAGGACTAAAGGTAAGAACCTGTGACTTTCTCCTCAGAAATCAAACACACAAGAACAGACAAAGCAAGATATCTGAAGTGTTGAGAAGATTAAACACACACATACACAGTGAGAATTCCACTCCTCACAGTCATCTTTTTTCCTATTTCCCTTTTTATCAGATCTTTGAGAATTTCATACCTTGTATTTGATCACACACATTCCGTCTCCCAGCTAGCCCAGACCCACACACCTTCCCCTACCTGCCCACACAACTTTATCTTTTTTTATAAAGGGGATGAGGGGGCACAGTTTGTGCTCCCATATACTCTTGGATGAGTGTCCATCCACTACAGTGGTGGTTCCCAAACTGGGGGTCGAGACCCTTTTAGGAGTCAAATGACCCTTTCACAGGAGTTACCTAAGACCATCTGCATATCAGATATTTAGATTATGATTCTTAACAGTAGCAAAATTACAGTTGTGAATGGATACAATTTTATGGTGGGGTCCCCACCAACATGAGGAACTGTATTAAAGGTCGCAGCACTAGAGGGCTGGGAAGCACTGCTCTAGAGCATAGTCAATCCTTCAGAAGCTACTCCCTTAGAGAGAGCAGACTCCCCCTCTCCCAGGGGCTGTCAACTGCCAGCAGTCTCTCCATAAGGGAGGACTTTATAACCTTGCTCTTAAGATGGAACCATACCTGGCACCATTATCAGGGCCAAGGACCAATCAGACAGGTCATAGGCCCTTATTCTGCTGAATGGACACACTACTAAGTCAGTTCCTAAAGACGCATCATTATACCCGTGCACCTCAGCCCTCCTTTTGCAGTCCATGGTGATTGACCCTGAAGTCATATTTCATGGCTGAGGTGTGGAGATCAGTGGATACAGGCACAAGAAGACAAATGTGTCTGCAAGCGAACTTTGAGGGAGACTCCTATTTACCATCTTATGTCTATGAATCATTAAAATCATATGCACTGTGGAAAGGTACATGCCCAGGAGAAAACATAACTTTATCTGTTAATTAAAACAAAAAAACAGTGGATGGAGAGATGGCTCAGTGGTTAAGAGCACAATTCTAAAGTATCTGATGCCCTCTTCTGGCCCCCGCAAGTACTACAGGCATGTGGTGCACAGACACATGTAGGCAAAATACCCCCACATAAAATAACAATAAATCTTTTTAACATTTTGATATAAAGAACCACCCAAACTATACCCGTTAGCAAACAAAGACTCCTTCTCTTGACCCCCATAAAAACCCAAACAACTACTGGGGTCCTTCAATGCCTTTACTCACACGATCCACACTTTTTTTTTTTTTTTTTTTTTGGACAGGGTTTCTCTGTAACATCTCTGACTCTCTAGAATTCATTCTGTAGACTAGACTGGCCTCGAAAACAAAGAGATCCACCTGCCTCACCTCCCAAGTGCTGGGATTATAAGCCTGTGCCACCACTGCCCGGCTTCCACTATCTATCTTTACAATGTATTTCTGACCTGTATCATTGCTTTATCTTAAATAATGTTACATTACTACTTTTGCTAGTCTGTGTGAGCCTTTATTTTATTCTTAAATAAGAAGTCAAGAACCTTGAAGCACCAGCTAAGACCCCAATCACCAGTAACAGTGTGATACATGCTTGTAACTCCAGCACCAGAGAGGCCAAGTCCAGAGGACTCAAGTTTGCAACCAGCCTAGACTACACAGCAAGAAGCTGTCTTTATGGGGCTGGAGAGGTGGTTCAGCAATTGAGACCACTGGCTGCTCTTTCAGAGGACCTGGGTTTGGTTCCCAGGACCCATGTAGAGGCAACTCATAGCCATCTGTAACTCCAGTTCTAGGGGATCTGATGCCCTCTTCTGGTATCTGAGAGCAAGGCACAGACACACATGCAGGTAAAAATAAAACAAAAACATACACATAAAATAAAAATAAAAAGCTATCTCAAAATTTAGTTTTAGAGAAGAATTTTAAAAGACCAAAACAAGATTCAAATGTGTGTGTGTGTGTTTGTGTATTGTTTGCGGAATTCCCACTTAGAAGGTATGGAGAAAGATTGACCTTGCTAACAATTACCAAAAGAATTAAAGAGTGTAGGGGGCTGGAGAGATGGCTCAGTGGTTAAGAGCATTGCCTGCTCTTCCAAAGGTCCTGAGTTCAATTCCCGGCAACCACATGGTGGCTCACAACCATCTGTAATGAGGTCTGGTGCCCTCTTCTGGCCT